GGATGGGAGTGTCAGAGACAGTGCGATTGGCACAGGACAGAGCGGAGTTTAGGGCTGTTGTACATAGGGTCGCTATGAGTCGCAGGCAACTCGACGGCACATAACAACAACAACAACAACAACAACAGCTTGGATAAGTATGGAGAAAGGATACAGCAACTTTTACACACACCTTTCCTGATTTTCATTATGCTGTGGTTCTTGTTCTGTTTGAACAATAGCTTCTTGGTCTAGGTATAGATTTCCTATGAGCACAATTAAGTGTTCTGAGAATCCTATTCTTCTCGATGTTAGCCATAGTTTGTTGTGATGCACACAGTCAAATGTCTTTGCATAGTCAATAAAATACTCCAAATAAATTATTCTCAAAAATACTGAAAAGTAATGATGTCAATTTGAAGACTAAGTTGTGCCTGATTCAGTCCATGGCCTTTTCCATTGCTTGCTATGCAGCTGAGAGCCGAACAATGAATAAGGTTGACAGAAGAAGAATTTATGCTTTTGAATCGTGATGGTGGAGAAAAGTATTGAAAATCTGAACAATCAAAAGAATGAGCAGGTATGTCTTGGAAAAGGTGTAGCCTAGATGCTCCTTAGAGGCAAGAATGGCAAAATTTTATCTCTCATCCTTTAGACGTGTTGCTAGGAGAGGCCATGCTATGCCTTGTGAAGGGATAACATACTTGGAAAAGTGGAGGGTCAGCAAAGAGAGGAAGACCCCTGATGAGAAAGATTGACATGGTGACTGTAACAATGGGCTCAAGGGTATCAGCAATGGTGAGGATGGCACAGGATAGGACAGGGTTCAGACCTGCTGTTTATAAATGAGTCACACACAATGACACCAAACAACAGGTCACCAGAGCTCCCTAAAACACAGTTGACAAGGCCAGTGTGATACATTTGAAGTAAAACAATTATCTAGGAATTAGGATTCTGACCTAGGATTCAGGGGGGTTGTTTTCTTCTTTTAACTTTGCAGTCAACTTCCTGATTCCCTGTCTTAACTTTCCTTGTTATAAAATGTACATACTGATGTCTGTGTTGTTACTACTCTATCACAATAGTGTCAGACTAGATTAAAAAGACCGCATAAAATGTCGCTGTGCATAAATTAATTCTCTATAGGTGGCTAATTGCAAGAAGCTGTGCTGCAATCCTGAAGGCACGCAGTTCGAATCCACCAGCTGCTCCATGGGAGAAGGATGGGCAATCTCCTCCTGTGTGATTAACTGCCTCAGAAAACCTGGAGGGACAGCAATGGGTCAGTTCTGACTCAATGGTACAAAACAACAACAACATATAAATAATGTAAAATCAAATTAATTTTATATTATTAATCTGAATCAGAGTGAAAATCAACAACTACGATAGAGTACTGAACAATTGACTCATTAGGAAAAATGTATGTATTTCCTGTATTTAAGTCCTAATATTTAAAAATGAAGACCTGCATAGATGGTGGCTTGAAGAGAAGAAAAAAAAATTCAGTATTAAAGTCAGATAGTAATCTGTGCCGGACCAATCTGTGCCAGGTTACTCAGATTCACAATGTCTTAGTTAATTGGTCATCTCCCTTCCCCCCCCACCATGGTGATTTTTCTTTGTGTAGACTTAATGGAAGGTGTTAAAAATGAAAGAGACATTATTTTAAAAGTTTATCTTTGGTGTTCAGTTAGGTAACTGGAAATAATTGGCTGGTTGGTAAGTTCTACTAATGATGGTGAAATACCCTTGAGGTCTCATTAGCCACAGATAAGAACTTTATAGAAGTTGCCAACAAATAGGATGTATGTAGTAACACTTTTAAGGCTCAAGAGAAAGACATTATCCAAAGGTGCCATTTATAAATTAAAATGAGACTTACTGTCTTCGACTTGTTGGCATTTGAAATCCTACAACTTTACTACTTTTTGTCTGGGTGATTTAACAGCGGCCTGGGGCCCTGAGCATGGAACTGTGTCAAATAAGTTCATAGGTGAGACTTTTTTTCTTTAAGGAAAGCATAGCAGTATAAAAGTCCGAGGTTTAAATATTCATTAAAAAAATATATAAGTCCTCTCCAACTCCCTTCTTTGCAATTTCACAACTCTCCTTTAGCATGCTAAGTCAAGAAATGTAGAATTAACTAAAATCCCACAAATGCTAATATTTTTCTTTTTTTCTAATTAAATAGATTTACAATAAAATAATATACTACATTTAAATCCAAATTGTTCCACCGAATCTAACAAACTGAGAATTTGCCAATGATGGTATGGGATTTTAAAAATATCTCTTTTAAAAGCCACACATCGTTCTAAGAGATGCACTAAGTTTTACTTCATCATTTTTCTGATATTCATGAAGGAAGTTAGTCCACAAAGTTACTAAACTTTCATTTTATTTGTACTCATTGTGCTTAGCGTATTGGTAGTCGTTCTGACTCAGAGCCGACTCTCCAGTGGGTTTTCCTGAGGCTGTAAATCACACGACAGGAGAATGTCCGTCTTTCTCCTGCAGAGCAGCTGGTGAGTTCCAACAAGATGCCTTCGCTTTGGCAGCACCACTCCTTACCACAAGGCCACCAGATGGTACTTGTCTTTTTAAAACTCAAATTATTTAAACTTTATTTATAGGAAAAAATATCCCATAAACAAAGGACAAAGTAATCCTTATTCTTCATAGTTATATCTAAATCACTTTTATAAGTAAGGTCTTGTTTTCTGTACACCATGCTTTTTTCAGAGAGATTCTGCCTTAAAGTAAGCAGATTGCACAGAAGCAGTTACATTTTCACAAAGATACCAGGTTTTCTTCTTGACTCAGGAGAAGGGGGAAAAAATACAGAATAACTACGACAAAGACCTTGATTAGGGTGGAGATTGTCAGGGTGCACAGGACAGAGCAAAGTGTGAAACTATTGTTCTAGGGGGTCTCTGTGAGTCACAGTCATCTCAAAGGTGCCTAAAAAATGACACAAACTTCTTTTTAAGAAGAGAAAGTATCAGATTATTTTTTAAAGGAATTATTTTGGCAAGAAATATTTTATTCATTACTTTCTTTGGGAATTTTATGCCCATATGTTGGGATGATTTTTTCCACTCTATAAGTAGTGCAAAACATCTATAAATAATACATCACTAAGATACAAGAAGAAAGCACAAGACCTTATAAAGCAGGAGCACAAAGACTTAGGAAGATCATTTCTCTCATGAATGAGTGAGTCATTGCTCTTTGCTCATAAAGTAAGATGGAGAGCACTGAAGCATAACAAGTTTTTAATGAATTTTTGCTATAAAATTTATACATTAATGTACATAGTAAGAGTCTAAAATACATTTATTTAATGAGTGATCATATTCTAAATGCATTTTATATGTCTGTATGCAAATATATATAAGTATGCATGCACGTAGGGAACTCACTCATTGCCTTCAAATTGGGAATGCCTAACAGCTGATCGTCCAGCAGATTTTCAGAGGCTGTAAATCACACAGGAGGAGACAACTCATCATTATTTGGAGCAGCTGGTGAATTAAAATAGCCTCCCTTTAAGTTGGCATTGCAACTCCTTACCTCCTAGCCACACTTACTAATTTTACCAACAATATGCTTCATTCTGTTTCTTAAGCTAGATGTTTCCATTTACTACTTTGAAAAGAAAGAGTCCCTTTGCTGGACAGACCTTCATAGGGTAAAACTCTATCCAAGATGGTTGATTAGTTGCATTTTTTTTAATGTCTAATTTAGGGAGTTCCCACTGGTAACCTAATAGAAAGAAGTTATGCTGCAATTCCAAAGAGATGCCGTTTGAATCCACCAGCTGCTATGTGGAAGATGGATGGGTAATCTCTTGTGTAATTTGTTGGGTCTGAAAACTTGCAGGAGGGTCAGCTATGAGTCAGCTTCAACTTGACGGCACACACAAAAGCAACAGTAGTCTAGTGGGAAAGAAGCTGGTTTGAACTCACTGATTGGTCCACAGAAGAAAGATGGACAATCTTCTTCACCGAGATTCAAACTGCTAATTGTTTGGTTCTGACTCAGTAGCAATGAGGGTTTTTTGTTTTTGTTTTTTTTATCTTATTAAAGCTATAAAATTACTGAATGGGGCTAACTTGAATAATATATGAACCTTAATTTTATAAAATAAACATTAATTATGCCATACTATAATTATCTTTATAGTCAAATAACTAGGTTACATACTTTCTTCTTCTACTTGTTGTTATGTAGTATCAAGTCAGAACCAACACATAAGATGATCCACTCCTTTTTAGGACCAATTAATATTTTCATCCTTACCTTCAAAGATATGCTAAAAGTTTGTAAAATGGAATATAGCCTTCTTTTACAAGTTTATTTATGCTTCTTGTAAAATAGAAAGTAATGATTGTTTCTCCCAAGTAGAGAATAATGATAAGTAGCATACAAAATCCAGAGTGCTTGAGATCTTGGGTTGGTGGACTAGAGATGCATGTATAGTGAATGTATAAGTTGTATAAGATGTATAAGTGAATATGTAGGGAGTCTGTCAATTCACTAAGCATTTCTTTCTTTCATTTTTTATTTTGGTGGAAGTTTTCAGAGTAAACTGGTGTTTCATTCAGTAACTTCTATGCATTTTGTTTCTTGACATTGCTTGAAATTCCCTTAAGATACCAGCACTATTTCCCATCTCCTCCTTGGCTTTCTCTGTCTTCCTTGGTTCTCTTTGCCTATCCAAACCTGCCTTCTAAACTCTGTGTTTTTGGCAAATGCTGACATTTTGATCTCATATGGTTTACTAAACTGAAGAATATGTTCCTCTCTGATGTTATTATTTAGTTGAAAGTTAATTACCAGAGAGAATTCAGTTCGAGGTTTGAAAATCAGTCTTGGAGTTTCTATTAGTCTCTAGCAGACCAGACTTAAAAATCTGATCATTTAAAATTTTTCTTATTCTATGGCCAAACTTTATGTGGTCCAGATTGGTGTTGTTTATAGTGATAGTCAAGTTATAGGAAAGACTGTGATTTTTGTGGTACATTAGTCTTCTTAACTGGATTCATCCTCTGGACTGGATACTTTCTTGAGTCTTTCATTTTCTTCTTTTCACTTAGATCCAGATGAAAAGACCAAGAGCAATAGATTAGATGTCCACTCATAAGTTTTTAGGGAGCTCAGGTAGCCTAGTTGTAAGAAACTGTGCTGCAAACCCAAAGGCTGGTGGTTCGAATCCAACAGATCCTCTGCAGGAAAAAGATAAGCAATCTACTCCTATGTGATTTGCTACCTCTGAAAAGTCACTAGAGGGCCAGCTATAGGTTAGTTCTGACTAGCCAGCACACAACAACAGCATAAGCTTTTTTTTTTTAAATTTTGTTATTTATGTGTGTGTGCGTGTGTGTGTGTGTGCGTGTGTGTGTGTGTACCGTCAAATCAGATCTGACTGGTACAGGAGGAGATTGTCCCTCCTTCCCCAGCAGAGCATCTGGTGGATTTGAACCGTGCGCCTCTGGGATTGTAGTTGCAGCTTCTTGCCACTAGGCCACCAGAGCTCCCCTAGCATAAGCTTTTAAAAACCTCACCACTACTTACTAAAGTAGGATGCCATTGTGAACAATAAAAAATGATCTAGATGTACCAAAGAATGTGGTCTTAGATCCTCAAGCCTAGTCTAGGGACTCATTCTCTCAAGGTGTTGGTTATGCATAAGAATTATTCAGAACTTTGCTCCTCCTGTCCTCTACCATATCTTTGGATATATTTGCACACATACAAATGATACCTTTATATAAATATTTCTTGTCAAATAAATGTATATATGTATATGTGTGTGTGTGTATACACGCACATATATACACACACACACACACACACACATATATATATATATAGTACTCCAATTCACCTTGTCACAATTGTTGAACTTTGCATGTCTCCTTATATGTCTATTCATGTTTCTTGTTACTATTACGTCAAGATTATATATACATACACACACACACACACATTAATTATCTTTGTTTTCTTAATGCCTTTTAATGCCTTGGTCATACTATATTGCCTTCCTCATTTTGGATACTGCTTTCTCCATTATCTAAGTTAATAATATATTGAGCTCTTGCAGCCTAGTGAATAAAGATTTGTGTTGCCATCTCAAAGGCAAGAAGTTCGAATCCACTTGCTTTCCTACAGAAGAAAGATGAGCAAGCTCCTTCCATGATGATGAACAGGCTCTGAACCTCTGCTGTAGGGTTAGCTATGAGTGAGTTCTGACTCGATGGCACAAAATAACAAGAAGTTAGTGTCCTTTTACCCCTGATAGATTGAAAAGATATTTCTTATGTAAAGCTTTTCTTGATATTTTGTAATCGAGTTTCATAAAATATTTGTTGTTTTGTAATTAACTTTTTTCACTCACTTTAATATCCTACAGGTTCATCCAAGTTAAGAGAATGTTTCTCAGGTTGTTTTGCTGAGTTTTTAATTCTTTTTTAAAATTCTTTTAGGCAGCATAGTATTCCTTTGTTTGTACTACAGTCGGCTTGTGTATCCATTGATGGGCATTAGTTCCTCTCTGGCCGTTGTGAATGATGGTACAATGAACATAGATGCATGTATCTCTTCATGTAACAGCTCTTATCTCTATAGGTTACACATCTGGTAGTGAGATTGCTGGATCACATACTAACTCTTATTTCCAATTTACAAGAAACCACCATCATGTTTTCTATAGTGGTTTTACCATTTTAAAATACCATCAGCTGTATGTAAGGATTCTATCTAGTCTCTGTATACTTTCTTCATTACTTAGTGTTTCTCAGGATTTTACTCTTACTAAGTGTTATTGTTGTGCCACTGAGTTGAAACAAACTCATAGCTGACCCTCCAATGGGTTTTCCAAGGCAGTAAATAACATGGGAGGAGTTTGCCCTGCCATCTGTGGAACAACTGGTGGACTTGAACTGTGTGCCTCTGGGCTTGAGTGCAACTTCTTACCAGTAGCCACCAGAGCTTCCTTACTTACTAAGTTTTCATACTTTTAATTTTGGCTAAAAGATGTATTAAATTTTTTAGGTTGTCTTATAATTTATTATTATTTTTAGGCTTATTATAGATGGTTCCATATTTTTTGCAGCTTGAATATGCATATTTAGTTATGATATGAGTGAAAGTTTATAAAGTATAAATAATATTACACTTTCACTTAATCCTTCATAGACATTTTTGTCTCATAATATTCCCTCTAATTTATTAATGTAATTAATGAATTATAATGCTTAATCAAATTCTTATTGTACGTTGTTTTCCCTTCACCCAAATTATCTGATTATTGAGATTTGCTCCCTCTCTCTCCTTGAATATACTTTTTAGGAGACAGAATTATCTTAAGTTCATCTTGACTTCCTCACCATTTGGAAGTTCTGCAATTATATAATTTATTCTTTTTTTTTTGTCTATGTTTGTTTGTTTGTTTTTATTCCAGATTCATGGCTCTGGTTCCTTATTTTCTGTGAAAGATGTGCTTTAAAAAAATTCTTTACCTGACATTGTTTTGGGATGATGTTGTTCTGTGTTGTAGCCTCAGATTGTTGTCAAACATTATTTTCTTGCCAAAGTACTCTTTTTAGCAGTCTGATTAGGTTGATTTGGTTTTTAAAAATTGTCTTACTTTTGTCTTCTTGTAAATGATCTCACTTTGGCATTATATTTAATGAGTAATTTTGTTGGATATATAACTTAATTTTCCCAAGCTGCTCTCAAGAGTCTGTCTTTTATTTTGGACAGTTTGATTATGATATATCTTGAATATATTTTGGGGGGGGGAAACCAAAAAATAGACTCTTTAGAGTCTATTGAGTTTCTTTAATGTGTTTATTCCTGTCTTCAATGATGGTGGAGATGTTCTTTGTTTTTGTTTTTTGTTTTGGGGTTTTTTTCCTCTTCTTTTTGCAGATTTCAGGTCAGATGTAAGTTATTTCTATTTATGATATCCCACATAATTCTTCAGCTTTCATTATCTTTTCTTCCTGTTTATTCATCTAGCAAATAGTATTAAGAACTAATCTTTAATTTTATTGATGCTGTCTTCCATTGAATCAATTCTGTCATTGTTTCTTCCAACACATTGTTTCTGATATTTTAGTGTTTAATATATGAATTCCTAGTTACTTAGTGTTTTGTGTTGTTTCTACTTGTTCATTTATTTTGTAATTTTGTCCTTATATTGTTTTCCTGGATTATTTTGAAGATTTGTCTCTATTTTCATTAGTTTTGTCTATGCTCTTGTGTTCTCCATATGCTTTCAATGAATGGTCCTAAATATGATTATTTTCAATTTTTTAAGTGGTAATTCCAAAGCAATACAAGCCTTATGGCTCTGTATTTTGATCACTTGTTTGACTATGCTAGTCTATTTTTTGGTAATATTTGAAATAGTCTCTTTTCTGAGACAATGTGGTATTATTGTATTTATTTGCTGACTGTTCAATGGTTTGTATCCCCTGGATTGTTTTGTTTTACTTTTCTATATCTATGTGGCTCCAGAGACTGTAAGTTTCTAGTCATTGCTTTGACAGTACTGGAATGCACAGCTGTAGCAGGTTAGGGTTAGATGAAGAAAGGATTGAGGTTGTCATGATTTCATCTCGCTTGGATCCACAATCAGTATTCTTGGTACCAGCAGGCAGGAAACCAAAAGATGAGTTGTACTGGGAAAATCTGCTGTCAAGGATCTCTCCAGAGTACTAAAGAGCAACGATGTCAATCTAGAGACTAAGTTGCGCCTGATCCAGGCCTCAGTCTTCACAATTGCTTGCTATGCATCTGAGCATGGGACAATGAATAAAGATGGGAGAAGAAGAATCTAAGCTTTTGAGCTGTGATACTGGAGAAGAGTATTGAACATACCACAGACTGCCAAGACAGCAAATAGGTCTGTCCTTGGAAAAGGTGAACCAGTTTACTCCTTGGAGGCAAGGATTTGGTAGCTCTGTCTCACAAGCTTTGAACATGTTGCCAGGAGGGACCAGTCCTTGGAGAAGGACATCATGCTTGGGAAGGAAGAGGGTCAGTACAGAAGATGAAGAGCCTCAATGAGATGCATTGACACAGTAACTGTGGCAATGGTGTCAGCTTAATCAGAGAGCGTGATATCGGCTCAGGAGAGGGCAAGGTTCAGTGCCATTGTTCATAGAGTTGCTATGAGTCTTAGTGGACTCACTTACACATAACCACTGCTATATAGTAGTCATCTGTGGCCATTCATACCCTTTCCTTCTTTCTATCTAGTTTGTGATTTGCTCACCTTGCTTCACTCTGGGTTGTCTATACTATGTCCCTATCTTATTGGTGATTCTTTATAGTTGCCTTCTTTTGTCACCAATTGACTGTGCTCTGCTTGAATGACTGGGAAGCATCTTTATATCACTGTTTAACACTTATTTGCTGCTTTTGTTCAATTTCTTCTTAAAATTGATGGTTCCAGGATAAACACTCATATATGCTTCACTTGGTGCTGGGCCTTGGCTGGAGAAGGACCATATGCAATGTCTGACAAGACTGCTATCCTAACTCGTGATCCTCTCAGAAATTTATCTGTTGTTATACATTGTCATTCCTGGCACCTATCATACCATCAGCTCAATTCATCTCATTACTGTTGAATTAGATCTACTTCCTAAACAACATGCCTCTGAAAACTATGGATTTTGATTAATGTTGATAGTTATGGAAAGGCTTCAGCCCTTTTGTTCATAGGGTCACTATGAGTCATGCTCAACTCAAAGGCAATCATCACCACCACCACCATAGGGTTTTAGAAGTTATAAACCACACAAGAAAGGATTGCCCATTTTATTTGCGTGGAGAAGCTGGTGGGTTAAAACTGTCTTTGGATTAGAAGCGTAACTTCCCACCCACTAGGCCACCAGAGCTTCCTTCAGGTATTTATTTATCACCTAGTGATGATATTTATCACCTGTGCTGCTGGAGAAGAGTATTGTACATACCATGGACAGCTAGGAAAACAAACACGTTTGTCCTGGAAAGGGTAAAACTAGCCTGTTCCTTGGAAGCAAGGAATCTGAAGCTTTGTCTGACATACTTCGGGCATGTTGAAAGGAGGGATCAGTCCTTGGAGAGAGACATCATACTTGGGAGGGTGGAGGGACAGGGCAGGAGAGGAAGATCCTTGATGAGATGGATTGACTCAGTGAATGGGGTGATGCTGGTATGTGTGTCAGAGACAGTGGGTTTGGCTCAAGATAGAGCAGGATTCAGGCTGTCGTACATAGGGTCACCACAAGTCACGAGCAACTTGATGGCACTTAACAATAACAACTAGTAAATTCTAGACATTAGGAACACTCTGCAAAACAAATGAGTAGATGCAACATGGAAACAGGCATTAATAGCATATATGGTGTGATAACGCTATTTCTGCACTAAGGAATTAAAATGTAACCTTTTCACAACACTTGTTTTTTTTTTGTTTTTCTTTTTTTCCAGGGAATTCAGGTCTCAGAAAGGCAATATTCCCTTAACAGATGGTCTCATGCCTCCCAACAACGTGACTGAATTTATTCTCCTGGGACTCACACAGGACCCATATTTGCAAAAAATTCTCTTCATTGTCTTTTTGTTCATTTTTCTATTTACCCTGTTGGCCAATTTGTTCATTGTCGTCACTATCTCCCTCAGTCCCACGCTTTCAGCTCCTATGTACTTTTTTCTCACTTACCTGTCGTTCATAGATGCCTCTTACACCTGCGTCACCACCCCCAAAATGATCATTGACCTCATCTTTCAGAGGAGAACCATCTCCTTGGGCAGTTGCTTGGCTCAGCTCTTTGTGGAACACTTTCTGGGCGGTTCAGAGATCATCCTCCTCATTGTCATGGCCTATGACCGCTACGTGGCCATCTGCAAACCCCTGCACTACACCACCATCATGAGACAGGGGTTATGCCGCCTCCTGGTGGTGGTGGCCTGGATGGGCGGGATCCTTCATGCCACAGTGCAGATTCTTTTCATGGTCAACTTGCCCTTCTGTGGCCCCAATACCATCGACCACTTCATGTGTGACCTCTTCCCCCTGCTGAAGCTGGCCTGCAGGGACACATACTTGCTTGGACTAGTGGTGGCTGCCAACAGTGGGGCCATGTGCTTGCTCATTTTCTCCATGCTTCTCGTCTCCTATATCGTCATCCTCTGCTCCCTGAAATCGCACGGCTCTGCAGGGCAACGCAAGGCTCTCTCCACCTGCGGGTCCCATTTTACGGTAGTTGTACTCTTCTTTTTGCCCTGCATATTCACCTACATGCGTCCTGTGGTCACCTACCCGGTCGACAAGTTGGTGACTGTGCTTTTTGCAATTCTTACCCCTATGTTAAATCCTATCATTTACACAGTGAGAAATACAGAGGTGAAAAGTGCCATGAAGAGCTTGTTGAAGACAAGGGCACTTAATTAGATAATTATGCCAGCAAATTATGATGTAAACTAATACAAAGAGTCATACTGACACACTGTGAACAGCTGTTTTCAACTTTTGCAGATCATTGATCATTAAACATTAACAAAACAAACAATTCCTGAGTGCTTAATTGTAATTAAGTTGTTTGATAGCTTTTCCTATCCTGTACTGAGGTGTAAATGCTCCCTGTGCATATAGTCAGAATATGCATCTACAAAAGACCTGGAAATTCTTTTGGTTTGATGATTCTCAGATCTGCTTTGCTCCAGTCTCCCCACTATTTTACTAAATTCTTTACATATTTATTACTTAGGAAAAAGGAGTTTTTCCACCAGATATTGTTGCTGTTGTTGTTGTTATAGGTAAAACCTACAGCAATCAAAAAAGAGGAAAGACGTCTTTAGATGGATATATGGAATTCAGGGTAGACAGTTGGGAATGAAAGAAAAACACTGCTGATGTTCTGTTTTCTTGCTACTGTTTATCAGTGATCTACTCCCCAAAGAAGAGAGATGTTAACAGATGAAACAACTGATATCCTCTTTTAACTGTTTTTCAGTACAAAATATAAGGCTGGTATTTTTAGTTTGCCCTTAATTTGGTCTTCTTTTATTGAACATCTTCATGACTCACAGATTTTCATTAATATAAAGGACTCTTTTCCTTGCCAAGTCATTCGAGGTGATGAGATCCTATGATTGTTTTATTGTTTAATCTCAACACAGAACCATATGACAAAGTCTCAAAGCTATTGTTCTGGATATACAATATTCCTATTAAATTTATGTTAGGGAAGTTTAACTGTGTAAATTGGAAATGTCAGGCATATATGCCTACTCTGTAGAGAAGCAAAATGAAGCTAAAGGAGCTTTTGTAATTCAGGTCAAGTCATGCATGTAAGAGTTTTAAATTCATAAAATAAATATACATTTTATCTATCTTGACAATACTTTTTTCAAATAAAATACAGTTTCATGTGGTGTGTTTATATATTGCATGTGTTGTCATTATTATATCCCATTGTTGCTGCTGTTGTTGTGTGCTGTCAAGTTGTCTGTGACTTCTAGCGACCCTATGTACAACAGCCCTAAGCCCTACTCAATCCTGTGCCAATCTCACTGTCTCCAACACACTTATCCCCATTATCCCAGTCACAGAATCAATCCATCTCATCAGGGGTATTCCTCTCCTGCGCTGTCACTACACCCTCCAAGGAATGGTCCCTCCTAGGAACATGTCCACAGTATGTTAGACAAAGTTTCAGAATCCTTGACTTCAAGGAGCATCTTGGTTTCACCCTCTCTAGGACGAACCTGTTTGTTCTCTTAACAGTCCATAGTATATTCAATACTCCTCTCCAGCACCACACCTCAAAAGCATCAATTCTCCTTCTGTCATCCCTCGTAGTAATTAACGCATAGTTGAACCTGCAGCATATTTTCAGAGCAATAAATTGCACGGAAGGAGGTTACCCATCCTTTTCCCATAGGTGGTAGATTTAAACCATATGCATTTGGGATTGCAGCACAGCTTCTTACCACAAGGCAACCAGGGCTTCCTATGTCTATATATAAAAAGTATGTTTTAAAGTATAATGTTTTATTTTGCCCTTATGAAGAAGGATAATGTCAAATTTGTTGCACAGTTTTTAACCAGGCTGAGTTTTTTATATATTATGTTACTTTAAATGAGGATATCAAGAATATCATCCATAAAGAATGCAGAGAGAGAGGAGGAAGAAAAGATCAAGATGGATGTCAGAAGAGACTCTGAATATTACACTAGAGCGCTGAGAAGCCAAAGCAAAGGGAAGAAATAAAGAAATTAAGGAGCTGAAAAGAACCCTTCAAAGGGCAGCTCAAGAAGATAAAGCAAAGTATTACAATGAAATATACAAAGAGCTAGAGTCAGAAAATCAAAAGGGACAAACTTGCTTGGAAATTCTTAAACTGAAGAAACTGAAGAACTAGTGTAAGACTCAAGTTGTAATACTTAAGAATGCTGAGGGTGGTATGTTGAATGACCAAGGAAGCATTAAAAGAAGATGGAAGAAATAGAGTAACTATACCAAAAAGAATTGACTAGCACAGATTTTCATTAAACAACTATGATCAAGAGGCAATGGTGATGAAGGAGGAAGTTCAAGCTGCTCTGAAGGAATTGGCAAAAAAACAAGACCCCAGGAATTGATGGAATACCAATTGATATATTTCAGGAAACAGATGCTGCACTGGAAATGCTCACCAGGTTATGCCAAGAAATCTGGAGGACAAATACCTAGCCATTCCCATTCCAAAACCAAGTGACCCGACAGAGTCAAATAATATCGCTCATACTGCAAGCAAGCAAAAGCTTATCCAAAAATGACTGAAGCAGACAACTGTTAGATGTGCAAGCAGGGTTTAAGAGACGGCATGGCACTAGGGACATCATTGTCCCTAGATGTATCTTGGTCAAAAGCAGAGAGTACCAGAGGAATGTCTGTGTTTCATTAAGTATGGAAAGACATTTGACTGTGTGGATCACAACAAACTGTAGCTAACCTTGAGAAAATTGGGAATCCTAGATCATTTAATTATGTTAGTGCAAAACCTATAATTAGACCATGAAACAGTAGTCAGAACACAGCAGGGAAACACTGAGTTGTTCAGAATGAGGAAAGGTGTGCATCAAGGATGCATCCTATCTCTATATCTTTTCAATCTATATGCAGATCATTTGAGTATTTATTTTCATTTGAGTATTTATAATTCTTAAAAATAAAGTAATTATAAATGGAGTATTTTTCCTAAAAAAAGTAGATGATATAAATCACATTTGGACTTCTTTCATATCATGTGATTACAATATTGCTGTATTTGTTAATTATTCTTCTATATTTTATGTCATTGAAGCATTATAAGTAACAAGGAAATATATTAATGCTAAGTGATTATATAATTACTGATTAAGTAGTGTATTTAGAGATGGGATATTTGAAGAGATAAAAATTAATAAACATTAGTAGCCCAAAATGCCAAGCATTTGTCTTTCTTGACTTTAGAATGTACACGGTCAGAAGTGGTACAATTTTAAATAATAGTCTTACAGAATAAAATGTTAAACAGGCTTAGTGATAGAAAATTCCCACACTAGTACTTGTTAGATGTCCAGGAATAAGTCACACTTCTTCCTTTTTTATTTTTATACATTTCACAGGCATGAAGATCATTGTGTGCTCTTCTGTTTTTGAAGAACAGAACTTAGTTCTGGGGTAAATGACGGGATGGTTAACACTGTTGTCTGGTTTTGTTTTGGGGAACGTCAGCTTGCTCTGGATTCAGTGACTCAGCCTTTGGAAACAAACTACCACTTAAAGGTGGATAGAAATTTACTGTCTGGAGATTAGCTACTCAGTCAGGAGAGACTTGACCTCAAAGGGATACAATTGCAATGATGCAATTCCATCCACTACCAGTTTTTGAAGTCTGTCCTCTTTTAGTTCAGGTCCATTACTCAAAGGAGGATATCGTATTAATGATCTTTCTTCTAAAGTGTAGATTACAAACTGCTTTCAAATTGAGATTAGAATATAGCCATATGACAAGCACAGCCCCTTAAAAGATTTTGTAAATAGTTTTTTCATCTGCCTTTTGGAACTTCTCATTTTTAGAGGAACTATAAATTACCCTGTTAACCACAAAGGTTGTTTTCTATTTAAGTTCTTGGGCACTTACAGCATATATTTTAAATTTCTCTTGAAAAGTCATAGATGTTCTACTTATTACTGGTGAGTCTTATCAGAATAAATCCTTGGTAAGTGGTAGGATAATTTGTTAACTGTATCTGTCTTGATTTTCTTACCTCTACAGTAGAACAAGCAAGTTTAAACTCTCACGTGTTATAGTTTGTAGCCTGTCTTTTAACAAAACTTCACGTAAGTAAAATCGGTTGGAGTTAGAACTCTGATTATTGTAATGAGATGTTAGAAATTTCACATGAAGTTATCTTCAACCTTCTACCTAGAATCACCGTTGATTAGCTGCCTGGATTCTTAGAGGTCATCTAGATGACACCAGACAGCTTTGGAAGTGGTCTAAAGATGTATTTAAGTATTAAACATGTTTCTACTAGTTTAAATTATCATTTTAACATTATTTAAATTTTCAAATATTCTAGACATAAAGTTTTCCTTAAAATGTGTTATGAATTTGTTTGTTTCATCTGTTTATACAAATCATGATCACAAGGTGGAGAGCTTTGAACTATCAATCATATTTAGCTTGATTTAGTTCCATTTCTTTGACATATTGTCAAAGCTTAAGTGTCTAGCATTTGGTCTATATCCAGATATGATGGCTATCAAATAAACAGCATGTCTCTATGCTTCAGTGATGTGATTGTAGAAAAGAGAGGAATGAGAATATTTGATATATGAGGACAGTTTTCCTTTTTTTAGTTCTATTTTCTCATATATTTAAATATACTTAAAATATACAACTGTTGCTGTTGTTATGTGCTGTCAAGTTGCTTGTGACTCGTAGCAAGCCTATGTGCAATAACTCTGAGATCTGCTCTATCTTGAGTCAACTTCATTGACTCTGACACACCTACCCCCAGATACTGGGACAATTCATTTCAGCCATGGTCTTCCCTTCTTACACTGTCCCTCCACCCTTCAAAGCATGATGTCGCTCTCTGAGGACTGATCCCGCCTTACAACATGCCCAAAGTGTGTTAGACAGAGCTTCAAATTCCTTGCCTCCAAGGAGCAGCCTGTGTTCACTCTCTCCAGGATAAACCTTTTTGTTATCCTAGCAGTCCATGGGATATTCAATATTTTTTTCCAGCACCACAACTCAAAGGCATAATATTGTTATTATTGTATACTGTTGGGTCAGAAGCAGCCCATGGTTGATCCTCAGACAAGTTCTAAGAGGTAGTAAATCATATGAGAGGAGATTGACCATTCTAGTTGATTCATATCATGTGCCTTTAGAATTGTGGTACAGCTTCTTACTATGAGGTCAACAGAGTTGCATATATGAAACTTAGAACTCACCATATGTTTTATACACTGTTGTTGTTGTTGTTGATTGCCTTTGATTTGAGCATGACTCATAGCAACCCTATGAACAAAAGGCGTGAAGCCCCTCTACAACTATTGACATTTATCAAAGTTCATGGAATTTCCAGAGGCATGTTGTGTAGGAAGTGGATGCCTCTCCTGTTTCCACATATTTTCTGTATATAATTATAATTATATTAAATATATAATTTTATATAAATGGTCTTTGCTATCAAGCAGATTCTGACTCAATCCTGTAGGACACAGTAGAACTTCCTCATAAATATTCCAAGTCATGTTAAAGTAGAAAGTCATCTAAAAAATTACTTTTAAAGCCCTTTGTAATGGCATGTATTTTTAGGGTACAGACACTCTCAAAAATGCAGAGCCACTGACTGTTCATTAAAAATGTTGACCTAAGGACACACACCAAACCCCTTATTTACAACTTCCTGTCACCTAGAATTTTATGGGAGAGATTATTTATTTCTCTTAGGAATATAGATATAGAAAATGTATATTAGATATTGAGCAAGTTTCTTGAATTCAGATTTTATCACTATCTCTACATCTTTCAATAATTTTTTTTCTTCAGTCATTAAGTGTACCTCATTAAAACCTGATAAATAAAGTATCAGTAAAGTACAGGTAGCGCAAGTGTTTAGGAATATTATTATTGTATCTGTTAGATTATTATTACTACTTTATTATTGATGACCATTTATAAACAATATATCTATGATCTTTGCAATCACTTGCTATGTATCAGAGAACTGGACAAGGACTAGGGATGATAGAAGGAGAATTAATGCCTTTGAGCTGTGGTGCTGGAGAAGAGTATTGAATATACCATAGACTGCTAGGAGAAGAAACAAGTTCATCCTGGAAAGGGTGAAGCCAGGTAGCTCCTTGAAGACAAGGATTCTGAAGCTTCATCTGACATAATTTGTTCATGTTACATGGAGAGACCAGTCCTTGGAGAACGACATCATGCTTGGGAGGGTGAAGGGACAGTGTAAGAGAGGAAGACCCTCGATGAGATGGATTGATTCAGTGACTGGGGTAATGGCAATAGGGTTTATCAGGGACAATAAGATTGGCACAGGATAGAGCAGGGTCTTGATGGCACATAACAACAACAGCAACATAATAGAGAGAATACTAGAGAAGAGTGAGGCTTCTTCTTTGAGTAGTTTTCTCAAAGACTCATCATGTTTTTACTTTATTTGAGATTCAAAACAGTACTGTGATCTTCACAATGATATTAAAGATGTAGAATTCTTGGAAGCTTGAAGAGCATACTGGTGGGTAGCTTGTGCTGTGAGCTCAGTCCTGTTGCTAAACACTTTAAGTAAATTTCACAAGTTCTCAAACCTCATTCACTACATCAAGAAATCAAGTTGGAGTTTCAAAAATTTAATAGTTCCCTTTTCATGTGTATTTTTTTAGTGGGAACTGAAAGATAACAATTATGAAGCTCCTAGTATATATAGTGCCCTCAGATAATAAGAATTCAATATGTATGGACTTTCATTACTATGCATTCTTTAATTTTGTTGCATTATTAGAAGGTTAGGAAAGTTGGTATCACTAACCACTAGACACTTAGTTAATGATTGTGACTTGGGTTCAGGATTGTCATTGTTGTGTACCATCAAGTCAGAACCGACTCATTGCTGATCCTCTGGTGAGTTTTCAGAGGCTGTAAATCAAACAGGAAGAACTCACCCACCTTCCCCGTGGAACAACTGGTGGCTTCAAATCGCATGCCTTTCAGATTGCAGTGCAGTTTCTTACCAGTAGGTTGTCAGAGCTCATGGTCATTGCCATGGCCATTTGTCTATTGACTCCTATATCATAATGGTGGAGAATGTTCCTGTGGAATGGGACCTCTTTCACATCTCTAAGAGTGTGTGTGTGTGTGTGTGTGAGAGAGAGAGAGAGAGAGAGAGATGTAAGAGGGTCTCTGAAATATCTCAAGGAGGAAGCACAAGGACAAAAAGCAATGTGCCGGTGAGGAGTTGCTGTTGGGATAATCTATAGGCTCAACCTGCTTCAGGGCTATAGCTGTGAGCAGCTTGTTTGTTAGCAACGGTTACACAAACAGGCTAGGTCACAAGACTGTGAGGCATGAAAGGGCCTGGCATTCTCACACATAATAAATTTAAATAATATTACATTTGCATATGATACATCCTTTGATGTACATGAAAATATCTAGAATAAACAATTTTAGACATCAGTCCTTGATAGTGGTTGCATGGACAGGAGGGAGACAGAAGGAGGTAATCACTTTATGAAGAACTGAGTTGCTTTTGTGATAACCGCAAGTTTGGCAGAAAATACTGTTGCTGGCTCCATAAAATGGTGAATATAATTGGTCTCACTGAATTTTAGTTATGGAAAATCTTTGAATCTACAAATGTTACATTATCAATATTCTCACAATAACTAAAAAAAATTGCTCTTGCAGATTTTTCACCTCATAGTTATGTGTTTCCATCCACTTACAGTAAATGGAGAATCAGAACAATGTGACTGAATTCATTCTTTTGGGTCTTACGAAGAACCCAGAACTGCGGAAAATATTCTCTGCTGTCTTTCTCCTCATGTATGTGGCCACTGTGTTTGGGAACCTACTCATTGTGGTAACCCTGACTACAAGTCAGAGTCTGAGGTCCCCTATGTACTTTTTCCTTACTTCCTTATCCCTCATGGACGCCACCTACTCTTCTGTCATTGCTCCCAAGATGATTGCGGATTCCCTCTCTGAGAGAACTACCATCTCTCTGGAAGGCTGCATGACTCAGCTCTTTGCAGAACATTTCTTTGGCGGAGTGGGGATTATTCTTCTCATTGTGATGGCCTATGACCGCTACGTGGCCATCTGTAAGCCCCTCCACTACATGACCATCATGAGTCCACGAGTGTGCTGTCTGCTGCTGGGAGGAGCCTGGGTTGGAGGGTCCATGCATGCAACAATACAGCTTCTCTTTATGTACCAACTACCCTTCTGTGGTCCCAACGTCATTGATCATTTTATGTGTGATTTATTTCCACTGTTAAAATTAGCCTGCATGGATACTCAGGTGCTAGGGCTCTTGGTCATCCTCAACAGTGGAGTAATGTGCGTGACCATCTTCCTTATTCTCCTCGTTTCCTACACAGTCATCCTCTGCTCCCTGAAGTCTTGCAGCTCTGAAGGGCGGCGCAAAGCACTCTCCACCTGCAGCTCCCACTTAATGGTGGTTGTGTTGTTCTTTGTTCCATGCATTTTCTTGTACGTGAGACCCGTGGCCACCTACCCCATAGACAAGGCAATGGCTGTGTCCTTTACCATCATTGCTCCCATGTTAAATCCTGTGATTTACACCCTGAGGAACGCAGAGGTGAAGAATGCCATGAAGAAACTCTGGAGGAGACAACAAACTCTGCGTGCCAGATAAATTTTTCCTTCTACAGATACAGTCACCATTTCTATTAACTCCAATCTCTTGCACATGCAGCATTCAGAGACATTTTTAAGCAGAAACGTCCTCTCAAGATACTACTGAGTTCTACCTAATTGCATTACTGTCTATTATCTTTTACACTCCAGCCTCTTATTCACAGGCTCTGAGAACATTTTTGTTCCTGTTGTTGTTTTCTATCTTTGCTCTTTCTTCCTTCATTTCTAAAGATACCTGGTGGTGCTGTTAAATGTTTAGAAATTTGAACTTCAGAGGAGAGGGTGTCTATGAGGAGGAATGTGGCATCAAGATTGGAGGAAGACTCATCAACAACCTGCATTATGCAGGTGACAGAACCTGGCTTGCTGAAACTGAGGAGGACCTGAAGCATTTGATGCAGAAGGTAAAGGAGGTAATCTTCAATATGGATTGAAGTTCAACATCAAGAAAACAAAAATTCTTACCACTGGGCCTATTGGAACCACCATGATAGATGGACAAGAGTTTGATATTGTTAAAAATTTCAGCTTACACAGTTCCACAAACAAAACTCTTGACACCAGCAGTTGAGATAACAAAAGATTAATTGTATTAAGAAAATCAAGGATCATTCCAGAGTGCTGAAGAACAACGATGTCAGTCTAGAGGCTAAGGTGTACCTGATCCAGGCCATGGTCTTTGCAACTACTTGCTATGCAGCAGAAAGCTGCGCAAGGACTAAGGGTGATAGAAGAAGAATTAATGCCCTTGAGTTGTGGTTCTAGAGAAGATCATTGAACATATCATGGACTGGCAAAGAACAAGCATATCTGTCCTGGAGAGGGTGAAAATAAGGTGTTCTCTGGAGGCAAGGATTTTGAGGCTCCATCTCACACACTTTGGGCATGTTTTCAGGAGGGGGGGGAAATCCTTGGAGAAGGACATCATGCTTGGATGGGACAGGAGAGGAGAGGAAGACCGTAGATTAGATGGATTAGAGACAGTAACTGGGATCATGGGGGTAGGTGTGGAGGGGACAGGGAGATTTGCTCAGGATAGGGCAGAGTTTGTAGCTATTGTGCTTAAAGTTGCTATGAGTCACAGTCAATTCGATGGCACATAACAATAGAAGAAGAAAGATATGACCAATTACTTCTATAAAGATCATAGCCCTGGAAATCTGTGGAGAAGTTCCACTCTGTCCTGTTGAGTAGCTTTGCTTCAGAATTAACTGCACGGTATATATATATTTTTTTTGTTTTGTTTGACTTTGTTTTGATTTTTTACACAAAATACTGCCTAACTAAAGGATTACTTTTCTCAGCATCCCATGTAACTGAGTGTCACATGACTAAAGTTCTGAGCAGTAAAAATATTAACGTTCTAGAGTAAATGGTAAATCTGTGAATGTGAAAGTGTAACATGAATTAAAAGAGCCATGTTGGACCAAGAGAATGTGTTTTAAATTTAATGGAAAACCAAGACTGAAGGAGCCGCTGCAGTGGTATTATGGAACTGCCATACCAGCTCCTTACCAATTGTCTTAACAGTCCTTTGTGTAAAAAAGATATATATTGTTGTTTTTGACTGCCTTTGAGTTGAGCATGACTCATAGTGACCCTATGAACAAGAGGCCTGAAGCCTCTCTACAACTACCAGCATTTCTCAAAGTGCCACTCCTGTTTCCAAAGGTGTCATAGTATTATTTTTTTTTAATTTTTACTTTTATTTTTAAAATTT